ATTGTGTGGATAAACATTGTGTTAGCATTTGGTAAACATTGCGTTAGCATTTGGTAAACATTGTGTTAGCATCGGTTAACATTGTGTAAGAATGGGTAAACCTTGTGTAAGTATGGGTAAACATTGTGTTAGGATCGGTAAACATTGTGTAAGCAGTGGTAATCATTATGTAAACATTAGTACTCATTGCGACCATAGCATTGTAAGGCACCCTGTACCTCACAATACTGTTCTAAATATAGCACTGATAATTAAGCTCTTGCTGATTGGACTAAAACAGCAGAAAGGGAACTGTGGGAAACATTCCTGTTAATTATAAGATTGTTTATAAATGAATATTTTAGAGACATTAAATCTAAACAAGGGATATAAACATGATCGTGAATCTCATATGTTTTTTTGGATAGCTTCCCTTGGTAATCTTTGGAAAATTCTTTTCATGCAACCTACAGAATGAAACCTTGATTTGTATTAAAACAAGATTTTAATTCAGTGGTTCCCAACCTTTTTCGAGTGGCGACCCCCTTTTATAAAAAGTAAGTGACCCGCGACCCCCATAGAATTAAAAAGCCGAAATTAGTATGGAAATTAATAAGCACTAAAATAAGATTTTCTAGGAGACTGTCAATGTGAACTACTCTTGATAACTGTTTTAATAGCATGAGTAAAATTGCATACTATTCACTAAACCTTCGTGGTTAAGTTTTAATTAAAATATTTTTTTTGTTAACGCCAACCTATGTCATTATAAGTATCTTAATTTTGTTTTTAATCGAAGAATAGTGTTGAAAATATATTCTAGAAAAGTCAATCAATTTTACGTTTGGGTATGAATGGTGAATTCTACACCAAAATTGTGTCTGTAGTTTTTCATCTTACTCGGAATCATTCTGCAAATCAAAGAATTCATCTTGTAATTCATCGGGAATGCTGGCAAAATCAAGGGAAGGAGAGAATGTGTAATGCGCAAATGCAGATTCTTCTTTTTTCAGCTCAGAGAAATAGCGATGCAGTTCGTTTTCTAGAGATTCAAGATGCCCAGAAATCGCTTCAAAATTTTAATTATCTCACAATCAGATTCATCTACCACACTGCAGAGTTTCTCAAATTTACAATATTTCCAAGATTTGTTTTCTTTACCGATTTTGCAGCTTTGATAAAAATGCCCCGAGATCAACATGGAAAGTTAAAATATTCGTTCATTTTCCCTGAAGCTTCAGGTTAAGCTTATCTTGATGTTCGAACACATCTGTTAGGTATGATACTCCCTCCAACCACTCTATGTCGTTTTAAGTATACCAAAAAGTCTTGTTTCCTTTGCACTTCCAAGAATAATTTGATTTCAGATTTAAATTAAAAAACACAATTTACAACATTTCGTTTGACAACGCGTGCTGTAGTGTAGAAGAGCAAAACCTCGTGATCTATATTGTTTTTGCTCAGTTCTTTGAAGGCTCCAGATTTTATATTATTTACGACTTATACTAGCAATGGAGTCTTGATGGCGATTGGTTAGGGTAGTGGTGAGGGAGCTAAATCTTTTCTGTTTTCTGAAAGCCCGATTTTGAGCTAAACATAGATGGCGCACCATCCGTACAAACCCCCACAGCCGTTCTAACCCATTTTAATCATCCAGTTTCAAAAAAGATATTTATTTTCTCCATGCTATTTGCACAAAAGAGCAAGCCTTCTTTGCTATCATCCGTATGAATATCGACACAGACCAGCAACTGCGAACACGAACTCACGTCTGTTGATTTATCAACTTGAAAAGCAAACAATCGTGAAAGCTTAATTTCAATTCAAATGTGTTATTTAACATTCACGTACATGCAGCGTTTGATGAGATTTTCTCCTATTGATTTTTTTTTGCTTGGCATTTTCTATCGCGACTTCATTTGATGCTTGCACTAATGCTGGTGAAAACTACCTGTTCGATCAAGTTTCTGGCGTTTGCAACTAGCTTCTTACCGACGAAAGAACTCCATATATTTTTTGTGTGTTCCGAATGACTCGTCTCAAGTGACGTTTTAGTTTTGAAAATTTCATAGATACGTAACTGAGAACAACTTTGTACAGTGCGCTTTGTTTCTTCTCTTTTACATTTCCAGTGATGTTACCCAGTGATGTTAATGAAGCCGAATTTCAAAAAATTCTTCTAAATATTTATGTTTTGTTTCAAATTACTAAGGTTTTGTATACCAGTTGGCGACCCCCCAGAAAGACCTTCGCGACCCCCAGGGGGGTCGCGACCCCCAGGTTGGGAACCCGTGTTTTAATTGGTTAAAAGCATTGTTTTGATGTGCCAACACAGTCATTCGAGGTGTGAAGGAGTATAGTGTAGGACTTTATATGGGTGTATGTATTTGTGGGCTTGTGTCTGTAATCGGTGTGTGTGTGTGTATGTGTGTGTTTGTGTGTGTGTGCATTTACTTTCGTGTATCGTTGTAAGTGTGGATCGGTTAGCGTGTGTTTTTGTGTGTATGCTTGTGTGTGTGTGTGTGGTAATTAGAGATAACTGGTAAATTATTGGTGGATTTATAATGAAGAAATAATGAGAAGACAAAGTTTTAAAAAGTATACAGAGTATTGCAATCCGGAAAATTTACACCTTATCTTTGTAAAAGTGACCCACTAGGTATATTGAAGTGACCCATTGAATTTGTGGTCCACTAGCTTCGTAAAAGTGACCCTTTGTTTTTAAAAGTGACCTAATAGTTTTTTGGAAGTGACACACTGGCTTTGTGACCACTAGCTTTATAAAAGTGATCAACCAGCTCTGTAAAAGTGACCGACCAACGAACGCTAACTCTGGGTTTCTGTAAATTTCCACCTCATTGCGGGGTCATTTGATAGCCCGTTGCCCGTGGACATTTCATGCAGTGCTCACCCGCTGAGTTCGTGCACTCACGCGTGGGTTGACGTGACTTTAATGTAAAAACACGCGATTTGAAAACGACGCAGCCTTCTTCTACAAACAGACAGAGACGTAACTATGGCCCAATAGTGTGACTCTACTATCAAGTAGTGTGCGACTCCATGACGTAATGGAGACGTGATTCTACGACCGACCAGAGAAATAGACTCTACGACTGAAGAAAGTATGATGACTCTTCGACCCCCCCCCCCCCACCCCCTCCCTCCGTCACACATCGTCACAAACACCTGAATCCCCTAAAATGACGTCAGACTTTAGCCTACGACCCCCTTCCCCCCCCCCCCCAACCCCATGCAACCTCAAAATCGTAATTGAATTTTTTTTAACATAATTTTTTTTGTATAAGATATTGACTGTGGGCCATTTTAATCAATTTTTTATTCCAAAAGTTTTCTAGACATAAAATGATAGCTAAAACTAATTTTCAAACATTACTTATTTAAAATGCAAAAGTGTGAAGTCACTATATCTGACCACATCCCTCTCATCACACATCGTCACAAAAAATTACGAGCTTTTGCTGGTGCGTGATTCTGTTGGTAGCGTACTGCTGCTGTATCTTGTTGTAGAGTGTACTGTTACTTCGTGTGATAGTGTTGTCGGTAATTCCTGCTGTGGTGTCTCTAGCTGGCAATGGTTCGTCCAATGTTGAGGGCAAGAACAGAGCTGATACGCTTGTTTTCTCTAGGCCAGGGGTCGGCAACCTTTTTAGACGAAAGAGCCAAAAGTTACAATTTACAACATTACTCGGTTTTTAAAGAGCCACTAACATTTTTATGTCAATAGTATATTTGTTTAGTATATATATAATCCTAAACAAATTTCATACTATATATATATATATATATATATATATATATATATATATATATATATATATATATACAATTTAAAATAAATAGCTTTGAATATATGAGATACTCTCATTTGAATTTGTGTTGAGAGGATCTACTATGTAAGTCAGAGTACTTGCATTTGTTTTGAACAGCTCAAATCTCTCAGTGCTAAACAACCTTCATTTTGTTTATGTTAATGCTGAAGTGATTGAATAGAAGCATTGGTTTCATAACGATATTTTTTTCAGATTTTTCGTAATTAAAGTAATTTACCGCTTGTTACGTATTCAAAACAAAATATTTCTTTCTCGATACAAACCATCTTTTCAAGCAAGACATAGGCTAGATTTTCGTTTTAGTTTTACACTTAGCTGGTTTAGTTTCTTTGTGAAGTTGAATATTTCAATTCGGAATGGACAATGTAATGGGGAGTACACTGAGATAGGGAGTAACTAAATATTCTAATATAATAGTGAATGTTTTTTGCTTATATCTATTGTTATACCGTTTATTACCGACTGTTTCAGAGTAATATTTTTGAGTTTTGGAAATAAAACACAATTTTTATTAATATTTGTGCATGGAGCTGAAGAGCCGCAACTGGACATCAACAGAGCCGCATGCGGCTCGCGAGCCGCAGGTTGCCGACCCCTGCTCTAAGCGATTGCTATTAGGTCCTAATTGCAATCGTTTAGGGATGTTTGGTTTTTTAGTTATAATTTTTTCTGTCCCTTTTAAAAGGGATCCAAAATTACAAATTTGTTTATTCTTAGGTCTATTATGAAATAAATATTTAATTGGATTAGAATGAGCAAATTATTATTTGCGTAAAGCTAATGTGTTTGACTTTAATCTACTTCAGTATTTCATGCTAATAATTATCAAAATACAGTTTTTGATTACAAATACTAATTAAGTAAACAAAAGTACGTAAAATCTAAATATATAGATCTTAAGTTGCCTTTTGAAAAATTGCGATTGTTTTTTTTTAAATTGTAAATATTTGGTAAAAATTGTTCCCCTTGTTTAATTTTAAAACACAAAATGGGAGGTAACGTATTGCCCTGATAAACACGAGTTCAAACCATCTGCATTTGTACCCAATTTGCCTTTGCGAAGTCACTTTCAAGGAATGTATCCACAAGTCCCTCATATTTTCTGCTTTTAACATTTCATTTATTTTTCACATCAACACATGGGATTATCGTTGGTTTATTTACATCAAACTACATGCTGGTTTTAGCAACATTAACTATGGAGTCGCGACCCAAATCATCAATAGAAATTGTTAAATGATCTTGAATACATTTAACAGCTTCTTTGCATGCCAGTCTGTAGCAACTTATAATGGAGGTAGGGTTAATTTGTACAATTTTAAACAATTCAGCAGTAATAATCACCACACTAGTAGTTCCATCACAAACTTCTTGATTTTGCTGATCTGCAAGATCAACAAAAACCTTAGCAGCAGGGTTCTCAACTTCAAGTAGTTTTAGAATAGTGGCACCATCATTGGTAATAGTACCATCACCTACATCATCAACCAACATTTTATCTAGTAGTTTTAGAATAGTGGCACCATCATTGGTAATAGTAACATCAGCTACATCATCAACCAACATTTATCTAGTCCAACTGGACCTAAGCTTCTTTTAATAATATTCGAAATAGACATGGCAGCCAAAACATTTTGAGTTCGGACTGATTGTCCTGTAGTTCTGTTTCCCCCAAATTTAAAGCTGTTTTTATGTTCGCCATGTTAGTTACAGAAATCACGATATCACAAAAAACGACCGTTTTTTTTTTAAAAATTAAATAATTTATTTAGATTAAAATATTAAAACAAATTACCCAGAATTGATCCCATCAGAATCCTCTTCATTAACGACCTTCAATGTATGAGGACATGTCTATTTCATCTGGCAGTTCTGTGATGTTGACCTCAAATCGTTCTTGTACTTTATTTAATATCTTAGCATCATTTTCATCAGAAACGAATGTTATATCTAGCCCCGTATTCAAAAGCGACCAGCCTTGGCTACCCTGTGAAGATAAGTATCAGAGTTTTCAGGCAAATCATAGTTGAAAACAATGTTGACTCTTTCAATATCCATGCCTCTTCCAAACAAATCAGTTGCAAATAAGATCCTTTTTCTGGAAATCTTTAAATGACTTGTAGCGTGACAATCTTTCTTCCTGTGTCATAGGGTCGATGGATAGCTAGTACCGGAAAATTCTGTTCTTGTAGAAGTTAGGCTAAGGCCATGCAGGATTGGATGCTCTTGACAAAAAATTATGACCTGATTAAACTCCAACACATCAAGACGTTCAAAAAGTTTTCTGTTTTTCTCATTGTCTTTTAACTTGGCATAGTGTTGTTGCAAACCATGTGGTGTTAGCTTTGAGTCATCATCAACATATACTTCCAAGGGATCTTGCATGAACTTCTTGCAAACTGGGCGGATATCCTTGCTTACTGTGGCACTGAACATCATCACTTGCTTCTCATGGGGTGTCATGCGGAATATTTCTATTTCTTGAACGTCTCTGCGAATACCAATTTCTGCCAGCATCCTGTCACACTCATCAAGAATGAAGTGCTTGATATTTTTTAGAGCCAAGACTTTAGACCGAGTTAGGGCAAGAATACGGCCAGGTGTTCCATCTACAATGTGAGGGCAATTCATTTTAGAACCACTTCAACTTTCTTAATATTCATACCACCAAAGAATACTGCAATCCTTACATTATTGTTGTACTTGCTGAACCTCGCCTATTCTTTACTGATCTGAAAAGCAAGCTCTCTCGTGTGTGCCAGCACTAAAACTGAAACCTGTCTATCAACATGCTCTAGCTGCTGCAGTGTTGCAAGTACAAACACAGCAGTTTTACCCATGCCAGATTTGGCCTGACACAAGACATCCATAGATAAGATCGCCTGTGGTATGCACTCATGTTCCAGTTCGGAAGGATGCTCAAATCCACAATCAACTATGGCTCTCAGTAATTCAGGTTTCAAAAGAAAATCCCCAAATCCTGAACTGTGAATTGAAACATAAGTTCATTTAACATATTTCTTAAAGGGGACCATCGCCACCTGCTGCATCTACAGTTGGTTCATTTTCTTCATCATCATAATCAAGGATTACACTATAATCCGCCATTTTAAATTTAAATGATCCACCTCGGAGATGAAAGCGTATTCTTAAGTCAAAAAAAAAAAGGTATGCTGTAATTTTGTTGGAGGTTTGATCAGGAGTTAAACGACAGAAGGGTTACTGCCGAGTTAGACATTACTTTAGGAGTAAAATTGTTGTGCACTAGAATATGGAACAGTGTAATTTTGTACAGATTCGACATTTTTTTTTTTGCATTTATTTGTTGTCCCTTTTTAAAAGGGATCCAAAATTTTATGTTAATTTAACCTTTGACAGTATGACAATTCATGCAATTTGATCAAAATAACCAGACTATTCTTTACTTAACGCTAATGTGTTTTAGTTTTAAACTACTCCAGTATTATAAGCTACTTATTATGAAAAATAGTATTTGGTTACAACATATAATAAAATAAACATTATGGTTTTTAGTCTTAAAATAAAAGTTTTACGTAGCATTATATAATTGTGTTCAAGTTTTCTTTATTAAATTATAGCGCTTTACTCTAAAATTGTCTCCCTTGTTCTATTTTTCAATAGCGAATCAGAGGTAACTCATTGCCCTATCGAATGCGAGATTTAATCATCTGCATTTGTACCCAAATTTACATTTCCGAAATCACAAGGCATGTGTGTACGAGTCCTTCACATTTATTGCTTTTAACAGTACATTTATTTTCTACACTAGCAAATGGGATTATCGTTTGTTTATTTACATTTTACTACATGCTATTGTTAAAAACGGTTCAACATTTTGGTCACCTTTTAAATGGTGTTATGTCTGTATCCATGTTTGCCTGTGGTTTTATAGCTTGGGATTTGTCAGTTTCTGAAGAGTTGGGAGTTGCCTTTCTTGCTTCTGAAAAATTATTGGTTTTTGCTTTGACTACAGGTGTTGCTGACTCAATGTTTATTTCGTTTTCTGATAGTCGCATGTTGTTGTTTATCGGGGCTGTTACTGTTGTCATTTCTGAATTGATGATCCGTTTGCTGGTGCAGGATTCTATTAGTAGAGTACTGTTGCTGTAACTTGTTGTAGAGGGTACTGTGACTTCGTGTGATAGTGTTGTCGGTAATTCCTGCTGTGGTGTGTCTAGCTGGCAATGGTTCGTCCATTGTTGAGGGGAAGAACAGAACTGACACGCAGGTTTTCTCTAGGCCAGGGGTCGGCATCCTCTTGAGACAAAAGAGCCAAAAGTTACAATTTTCAAAATGCTCCAGATTTTAAAGAGCCACGAAACATTTTTTTGTTATTTCAATTTTTTTTATTAGCTTTAGTTAAATAAACTTTATTATTTAAAATAAATAGTTTTATATATGAAATAATATTTATTCATATAAAAACATACACTAGTTTCGCCAGAATAATGAAATTAGTAATACAAAAATAAAAATATAGGACTGTCTCAATCCACTTTTGAAGCTGTAAACTTTTTTCCCTTCTTTACAAATATATCCGGGGTTGTCTGCCATTAGCCAGGCAGGCCTCAACACGACAAACTCCGACCAACTGGCTTGGATATTTGTTTGATTACTCTGTATCGGTCACTTCTATTCTTTGGTTCTCACCTGGCTTATCTTCCACCCCAATGAACGCTGGGTAAACTCGTACCCCACCGTCCAGTACCCGGCTAAACAGTAGGAAGCTAATAACTTTAAAACTACGTCAGTAACGTCCAAGTGATGATTACTGACGGATAAGGAAATGCATTCTAAATAATCTAACATTCCCCATTTAACGATATTCGAAAAAGTCGGCACTTGGGCAGTGGCAATAATGGAAACATCGCCACGGGGTTGTCCACAGTACGGCTGTGGGCCCGGGCCTGGTGCCCAAGCGACTGTCCGTATACTTTTTACTGCACCTATTCTCACTGTTCTCTGATGAGTTTTTTCTTGACATCAAGGGAGCCGCATGCGACATGCGGCTCGCGTTCTGCAGGTTGCCGACACCTGAATTAGTGTGTTTCATTATTTGGTGTTTTGTGTTACTTTTCATTTTTTCTGTCCCTTTTTAAAAGGGATCCAAAATTTAATTTTCTATCGTAATATTGTCTATGCGATTTAAATGTATTAAATTAGAAATGAACAAACTATTATTTAAGTAACGCTAAGGTATTAGATTTAAAACTATTTCAGTATTTTAAGCTAATATTTATCAATATATAGCATCTGATTACTAATATTAATAAAAAACAATAACAATACGTATAATCGTAATATGCACATCTTAAGTTGTGTTTTCAAAACTTGCGTTAATTTTTTTTTTAAAATTAGAACTATTTGGTTAATAATTGTCTCCCCTGTTCAATTTGAAATTGCCGAAATGGGAGATAATCCTTTTCAATGCATGTGTGTACAAGTCCCTAATATTTTATGCTTTAACAGTTCATTTATTTTCCACATCAGCAGATGGAATTATCGTTTGCTTATTTACATTGTAATTTATGCAATTGTTTAGACGATTTAACACTGTGGTCTTGGGTTTCTGAAATAAAATTTATTCATCGTAGGATAGATGCATCTGAGAGTCCTCGGTTATTCATATGGGAAAGTCTTCATCATCACACCCGCACAATCGCGCGCACGCATGCTCACACGCACACACACACTCACTCATGCACGCGCATCGTATTGAATGTTTGAAACGGCCTATCAAAGTGAAACCGGAATCAAGGAGAATAAACTTCTCACCCCCTCCCTCCCCGAATAATTCTCAATATTAAACTTACACTATTAATTAACGCACTAAAAATAGTTGAGTTGCAGACAAATTAGAAAAAAATCAATTTTGCCTTGGATGATTGTCTGCTTATAGAAAATAGTAACTGGTATCAAATCTAAACGAAACAAAGTAGCAGAAAAACTACGGGTAGCGAGGTACCCGCTTTTACTTGTTTTGTTTGCTGTGATGTTGATGAATGTAATTTTACTGGGGGTTTGTTCTGGTGGTAAAGGACAGAAGGGTTACTGCCAAGTTAGACATTACTTTAGAGTAAATTTGTTGGGGAGGTACTTAACGAAAGCAATTGGGGAACAGATGTAATGGGGGACAGAACCGACTTCTTTTACATTTATTTACATTTATTTATTGTCCCTTTTCAGGGATCCAAAATTTTAAACTGTTTATAATCAGCTGACCGACAGTGTTAAAAGTAATTTGATCTAAATGACCAGATTTTTCATTACGTAAAACTAATGTATTTAAGTTTTAAATACTTCAGTATTTTAAGCTATTTATTTAAAAATTGTATTTGGTTTGAATAGGTAATAAACTAAACAACATTACGTTCAGTATGAAAATGAAGATATTAAGTTGCGTTATGTAATTACCTTCATGTTTGTTTTTTAATTGTTGCTTTTTAGTCTAAAATTGTCTCCTTTGTTCTATTTTTCAATAGTAAATAGGAGGTAACTCATTGCCCTATCGAACGCGAGATTTAATCATCTGCATTAGTACCCAC